TTTTTTTTTTTTTTTACATAATTTGTGAAGAGTAATCTACATTCTAGATCAATACAGACAGTAGGATGGGATGTATACACAATTCATCAAGTATTTCTCATTCAGTTTCAAAATCGAATTAAAATCCCTTCTTGTTTTAATTGTATCCAAATTACTTTCAAGACAGCTGCTTATCACACGTGCAATCCACACAATATGCCATTGACCATGTATCCCTTCATTATGGAGTCAGCTTTCATCTCCTGCTGCTATGTAATAGATATCTGTTCAACTCAAACAAACATAATGAGCTGGCAGCATATTGTTACAGGTGACCTCACCGAGTGGCAAGTGCCCATAATGTGGGTGGGCATGTAGCACTAGTTACATCAGAGAGCTGCTGGGTCATTACACTCCCATTAACATCCTTGATCCTACCCAAGAGCAGGAACCCCTTAGATCCACACATTTTATTGAATTTCTTCACCAGGCGAAGTCACTTAGGAATTGATATTTACAGCAGGTAGAATGAGGCACCCTGAATTTCAGAGGACATTGGAAACTCCCCTTTCTTCTATCCATTCTGACACAGAGGCAAGTTGCTGATGTCCTTTGAAACTCAGGGTGCAAGGAGAGGATTAACCTTCCCATATGGCCACTTGAAAGATCAGATTCCAAAGTTACCTAACATTAAGATTATCCCGCAGTAAACTGAATTTGTGGCAAGGAGGAACTGGGATGACAATGCATCATCAATAACTCCATTAGTGGTCAGAAATGTCATAATGGAAACACAGCTGTGGGGAACTTCAGGATACGAAAATGAATTACCTAGATCAGTTCTGTTGAGATGCATAACAACTCAGTCTTTGGGTCTGTAGCTGAAATGAGCTGGTTCATGTTGCCAGACACTTCAGGTTTTAAAACTTGCCTTGTAAGTAAGCTCTAACAGGTATTGACAATTTCAAGCTGGGGTCAAATCGATTATCAACTCGGTATTTTAAAGGTGCAAGTGATTGTGATCGAGTTCTTATCCTGATATAGGCGAGATAGTAGTTGACCGGTTAAGAATTTCACATAAAATCGAAATACAATAAAGCCAATACCAAAACATACAATATGTTTATACATTTATTCATAGTGACAGATGATCACAGTTACTGCATACAATATGCACCAATGACGATGAGAAATGATGTATAAATATTAAGTCTGTCTGATTAACTTCTTTAAAAGGTTGGGGAACTTTCTAGCTGTTCAAAGGTTTACAGCTGTATTAACTTAATGCTGAAAGAGAATGAATTGCACACCTTATATCTAAAATAGACTTTCTTTTCTACATTTCATTAAGCCCTTATCATGATAAGAGCTGGATTAATTTCAATTTTCCATTATTTTAAAGCAGTTTACCATGATATGGGAAAATTACCTCAAGTGTGTCCATAAATAAATTTTAACCTAAAAAAAAAAAAAAAAAAAAACTTTTTGTAAGATTTAAAACTTTTCCAGCAAGCTTATCTGAGAAAAAAAAATTGTACTCTTGTAAATAGTAGAGCGTGGAGTTTTATAAATGCATTGTCTGGTATTCTTGTAAAACTGACATTTATGGATATTTTATAAAGCAACATTATGACGCATATAAAAAGATGAACTGAAATAAGAAGGAAAAGCAAAAGGAGAAACTTACATTAAATATAATCTAAGTTACCAACAAAATTTCAACATCCAATAAAATAATGTTACTAACATCAGACGACTTCAAAGTATGAGGTTTTAAGCACTGATGAGGACTGTGCATTTACAGTGCATTCAAACGTTTTCAATTTGTCAGAAAAAGATACTGTTATTTTTCTGGGAACTAAAGATGAAAGGGGTCTCCAACACTATCTGTTACCATGTTACTCATTGAAATTTTGCATTAACATTCTTGTGTATAACTGAAGCACCATCAATGAATTATACATGGCAAAATAAAACAATTACTCACAAAATGTTCTGAAGATTATGAAAGGATTAGTGATTTCCTTCTACCACCAAACAATTCAGCAATATATGTCAGTTAAATTGATAAACAAATATCTGAATTTTACTAGATCATGTTGCATGATGGATCCAGCAAGATTACCCATGCACACCAGAAAATGTCCTGTGCTTGCAAACATTGGTGTTGACTGAATTTCTGCAAATTGAAATCTAGCAAAACTGGGATCCTTTTGTAATCCTCAGGAGGTGACATTTAATGAAAGGACTTAGGAGTGATTTTCTGTGTGTGTGTGTGTATATATATATATATATATATATATATATATATATATATATATATATATATATATATATATATATATTGGGTGTTTTATTTACCCAAAGCAGTGGTAAATTTTCAAATTCAATTTTATAATGAAATTATATAAAGGAAAACCTGGAGTGTGTAAGACTTCGACTATATCACCATTGTTGCTTGATTATCCAATTTTCCAACCTGCTTCACTGAATTTGATAAATAATTTCATTTCAACCATGAAACTCATAAGCATATGTTTTCATGATTACAAAATAAAAGAACATTTTCTTTTCAAAAAAGAACTTATTTTCATTTCAAACCAATATCAGCCAAGTAAGAAAAATAAATAGAAGCCATGCCTAATGAGAGGTCTTCATTTCTGCTCAATGCTGGTAACCCGAATACATTTATATACTGAATGAATGGCACATGTTTACAGACAGATTTATATATAGCACCAAATACAGGACCCAAGCATGTATAGACAACATCATCATTTTTTTTACGTTGCCACTTTCAGTTCAGTTGGGTCCATTTCCGCCTCATAAAAAACAAAGTAGGAACTCTTTCAATCTCCTTGCCACTCGTCCCAGACAACATTACAATAAATATTTATTTTAAATCTGAACATTATTTTCAACTACACAAAATATTTCTGTATTACTCGTACATTCCCGCCTGCTTCTTCTTACTGCTTTTCCTCTTAAAGCTTCCAGCGCGGGGCTTGTGGACCACATGACTGGCCGAGGTGTGACGGACGCGATTAGCACTGTTACTGGCCGATAAGCTAAGATCCAAGGCTTCCTTATCAGTTGGGGACTGGACACTGGTCACACTGATGCTGGACATGGAACTGGACAGGCAAGGGTTGGAGGTGATGCCCAGAGAGCTGGGATAGGGGTTCTGGACATCGATGTCATCTCCTGGTAGACAGGTTTCCACCATGGCTTCCAGACAGTTCACAAACAGCTCTGCGTTCTCCTGGTTCTGAGTGGACTAAAATGAAAAGATGTTTTAAACTTAATAAAATAAAGAGTCTAATTGGCAAAAATGATTTTTTTATATAATTTTTTTATACCAATTTATATTATTATAAAATATACACAAATTGGCA